AAAAAAAACACAAACCTTACTGGAAAAATTCAAATGGGAAATTTTTGATCACCCACCCTACTCTCCAGATCTCGCACCAAGTGACTTTTTTCTTTTTCCTAAGTTAAAGGAAAGTTTGGGTGGCCATCACTTCAATTCAAATGATGAAGTGAAAGACTTTGTTAAATTATTCTTTAAAAAACAGGGCACGGATTTTTATAAACAAGGTTTGTCAAAGCTTCAGAACAGATATAAAAAATGTATTCAAGTCCAAGGGGACTATGTAGAAAAATAGTTTATAAGTCAAACAATAAATACATATGTTACTTTAACCTAAAAATTGTGTTTTGCTTTTTTCCCGGAGCAGGGAAACTTACTTTTTGAACACCCCTCGTATAAAACAATGCTCTTCTAATATTTTTGTAGAGAATATAAATCGCTGAAAGAAAGAAGAGAGAGAGAGAGAATAATAGGACTATTTACTAAATCTAAATGTAAAATTTAATTGATGCTAAAATTTTCAATATATGTTTTCCTAGAGATTTGATACAGTCATCAAAAAATAGAAAGCGATGCAGATTAAAAATTCCAGTATTTTATTTTACATAATTCCTTGTTTTGTATTTTAAAATCTACTTTTACTGAATTACTTAAAATTATATTTCTTTTTAGATTCTGGCAGTAGTGCAATTACAGTAAGATTATTTTATTTTTGATGTACAATTGTGTTTTTGTTTTTACTCTAATAAAACAAAAACACTAATAAAAACTATATTTTTAACAGTCTAGTTGCTAAAATAGCAAGCAAATAAATGAAAATTTTATAAGTTTAATTGTAAAGTAAAAAATATAAAAATACAAATAAAAAAATCAAAATGTGTACAAAAAGCTTTAAAATTATTGTATTATACTTGTTACGTTTTCTCATAATCCTAATAAAAAAAACTTATTTGAAGTTCCTCTACAGATAATGTACCTAGTCTTTTTATTATCCTATGCAATAATTAAAAGAAATAATATTACATATAGTATTAGTTAAATAAAGCGTTTTGAATTTAATAACTGAATTAAAGACTAAATGTTTTTACATCAAATTGATGTAATTTTTAAAAATTACCATTTTACTAGCCTCGAAAAATTACTGCCTAATTTAATATAATTTATCGAATAAATTATTGTAAAATTGGTCATTTTCATCTCTATATCTCACATATATTTGCTTAATATATGTGCAGTATAGGCAATTCTGTTTCCATATATATATATTTTTTTTTGTATCATGAAATTTTTATATTTGCTGACATGTATAATGCCTATATGAGCCAACACAAGACATTAGTATGTGAAATGATCAAAATTTTATTAGACAATTACGGTATACATTTCCGTTATTTTAATTCAATAACGGAGTAGGTTGGCAAATGTCTTTTCCGAATCAACGTTACATATGACTTAAGTTACCTCAAGACATGACTTTCCATGAAAATAATAAAATATTTTATTCGTATTCTATAGCAAATCGATCAATTCGACGTGCAACTATTAAGATTAGATATTCTTCAAAATGCGCTGTTACTATAATATTAACTATATATATTTACGTTATTAATTTATGTTCTGAAGAGGACCAAAACAAGGATCGAAACGTATACTGTAATTGTCTAATAAAGTTTTGATTATATCACACTAATATCTTGTGTTGGCTCATGTAGGCATTATACATATAATTAGATTTAATCTCTTGAGCCTACTATTGTTACGTATTGTTTTAATATTTACGTACTGAAAAATTTATTTCTTAAAGGTAAATTTAATATAGACTGTGAATGCTATCAGTAATATCTTGTCCTTTTTCAACAGCCGTTCCAAAGGTTTGTACAATCTGGCCGTGTGGCCTATGCGAGCGATGGACCTTATCAAGGCAAACTAGTTACCATCGTTGATGTCATCGATCAGAATCGAGTAGGAACAATATTTTTCTCTGTTAAAATTTTTTAATCTTTTTGGTATGAAAAAATTATAGAATTATATAGTATTAAACAATTTTTTGCTAATACATCAATTAATAATTTGCTGCAACAACGTTATAATCATTTTTTATTTGCTCAGGAAACTTTATATAGGTAACGTTTTACTCTTTGATAGACTTTAGCTATTTTATATAATAAATGTCATTTTTATATTGATTATGTTAAATATGGACAGAAAGACTTAACTTGAACAAGTTTAAAATGAAAGCATTGTGTGCCTTTTATATACATATTTCTGTAATATTCTATAATCTATAATATATTTAATAAACTTCTCTATAATATAATAAACTATAATCATTCCTATAATAAATCTCTATAATAAACTATATTTCTGTATGATGAAATAACAATATGATAGGAATTGCCGACTGACTTTGGTGATGTTAATTTCTTTCTGATGATATAATTGTAATTTCTTTAAATGTTGTTAAATTCTTCAAATCTTAAAACTGATATTCTTTCCATATACAGGTTCTAGTCGATGGTCCATCATCAGGAGTACCTCGTGGTGAAATGAGACTTAATGAGCTTCACTTGACAAAATTCCGTTTACGTTTTCCGTTTTCTGGATCCACTCATGTCGTGCGTAAAGCATGGAATTCAGCTAATATTAACGAACTTTGGAAAGAGACAATGTGGGCCAAAAAAGTTGAAGCCAAGAAGAAGGTATTACAAAATATGCTAATTGTTTATTTTTTTAAATAAATAAAATATTGAAAAATTAGTTTTAGAAAAATTAAATATGTTATGAGCCAGTATTTTTTGATAGAAAATGCCGCCATCTGACTTTTATTGACAATTCTAACTTGATTCTGATGACTTAATTGCAACTTTAGAAATAATATATTTTGGCACGATATTATATCTGGGAAAAATATTTGTCTGTTTCAGCGTGCAGAACTCAGCGATTTTGACCGCTTCAAACTGCGTAAAGCAAGGCAGATAAGAAATAAATTGCGGACGGATGCGTTTTACAGATTAAAAAAGAAAACTAAGAAAGTTAAAGCTGGTGATGCAGCGAGTAAAAGCGCGAAAAAAGCTGAAAAGAAATAATAACATTCTGAATTAAATACAAGATTATTTTATGAAAGTCTTGTTATTATACCTTTTGTTATGCTACAAAAAATTATTAATTAAGGCTCCTGAGTACTCATCTCAATTATATTAGATATGGAGTAACCAAATTATCAACATTATAAGTCGTATAAAAATCTTTGAATTGACTAAACGGAATTAAAAATCTTATAGAATTAAAGTAAATGCAAAATTAGGAGATAGACTTTATACTAAAATTAAAAAACAATTATTTTTAAAAAAATTGCTCATATGTATAATAATTATGTGTAATCATATAAAATTATATATAATTATATATGAACAATTTTCTTACAATACATTTCTCTAAATTTTATTTTTTCTAAAACAAACTACGACAATGTATTTTTGATTTTTCTCATTATTTATATTATATTAAAAAGTAATTTTACAAAAGAAGGAATATATGAACATGTATGGATATATTTTATATATAATTGCATATATATATTTATAAATTTCATGTTTATGTTTATATATATTTATATACATGCATGAAAAATTGTTTATCGGATATTTTTGTAATATTGCATTGTAAGCATGGTAGAAAGGATAATAATGATGTGTGTTGGACGGTGTCTTCCTTCAAATCCCTGCCGTCTGTATATGAATGTCGCATAAGAAACAAAGGCTGCCAACTGAAATGCGAGATATATTTCGTATTGAGAAGTTTACATATTCAATCTTTCCTTGTCGACATACTTTATAATGCATCTTACCCCCCGTATTCATAGTCAGACCTTATATTTAAGACTTCCTTAAATTTATCTTCACTATACTTTACGAATTATTTTATTGGCTACTGAGCATCTAAAGATAAATTTAAGGAAGTCTTAAATACAAGATCTGACTGAATACGGGCATTAGTTTCTCTGTCTAATCTTCCTAATTTCTGTCTTAAATTAAATATTGAAAAAACTAAATGAACAATGACAATGCCAATAATCAATATGAAATGAGTAAAAGAATATATGCAGTAAATACCATATTAATTTTATTATTACGAAATCAATATAATTAAAATTATGATATATAAGTAAGATTATTGGTTCTAAGTTAAATATATTAGCACATATATTTTGGTTAAAAATTAATTATGAATATATATAAATATAAACATGGATAAAAATATAATTATATACAATTGTATGAAATATGTCCATACATATCCATATATCCTTCTTTTTTTTGTATTATTATAATTGTGTTATTATAATTACTGTTTTATTATTTAAAAAAATAATAATTAGAAAATATAAATAATTGCAAGAATAATTTTCACATTGTTTTAGAAAAAAATCATTTTTCAAAAGAAAAGATGTATGAATATATATGTAATAATGGACATATTTCAATTTCATAATTGTGTTTATGTACTTGTTTATGCATGTTTATGTGTGTGTGTGTGTGTGTGTGCGTGCGTGCGTGTGTGTGTGTGTGAATAAAAAATTTTGTACTGGGTATAAGTAATACGTACAGCCATAAAATAATGAATATCATTTAATAGCAAAATACAGTGCGACAGCTCTCTGTAAATGTAAAATAGTTCAATGCAATGGTAAGTAATTATACAGTATAATACGTTAAGAAGTTTATGATAATCATTCAATGAGATTTTCGACAGCAAAGCAAGAAAAGTGGATAGGAAAATGCAATAAACGGTATTAAAGAGATTTACAGTTAAATAATCATTTTTTCAAACAATTTCTTCAAAACCTGTGGATTCATCTAGAAATTTATTACATAAATATTTTGTATACTTTGCATACATATAATAATAATGTACCGTATAATTATGTACTTACTATTGCATTGAACTATTTTACATTTACAAAGAGCTGTCATACTACAATATTTTGCTACTAATGATATTCATTATTTTATGGCTGTACGTATTACCCAGTAAAAAATTTTTTATTCATGAATACATACTGTCTATCATTGTTCTGACGGAGTTTGTGGACATATAGCGCGAACTAAACTGAGACGGAATGTCCTCTACTATTTTGCAATTTTCGCAATAGTTAACAAGATATTAATTACTAAAAATTGCCGAAAATTGATCTTCAATAATTTTTTACTCAAATACTATTAATTTTACAGCAAAACTGCAAGACAAAAATTGTTTATTTTTTTCTCACAGAGCTCTAAGAATTTTTTAATAATTTTTTCAAAATTTTTTAATATCATATTTTCTTATGTTGTGATAAAAATGAGCAAATGTAGTACTAAAAAGTTGATAAAAAATTCTGAAAAAATTCGTAAAGTTCTATGAAAAGAAAATAAATAATTTTTATCTGTTGCAGTTTTTCTGTAAAGTTGATAATATTTCATTCTGCCCCTGTACGAAAGACTTATCATTAATTTGCGAACACTGTATATTCATGCATGAAAAATTTTTTACTATTCATGCCATAATTTTTAACTTAACTATACTTACCCAGCAAACGAGAATGGATTAAAATGGATTAAAATTTTTTTAATGCTTACTTTAAATCCATGAAAATGGATTGAAATAGATTGGACCCGAGCTGACACTAGTTTAACATTTGAAAAAAACAAAACATTAATATTTAAGGATTACAAATTTTATTTCTAAGACATTTATAATAATTATACTTGAAATTAACTATTTCGAATTCGTATTAAAAAACGTACCTTAGTAGGATTGAAATCTGGGACCTCTGGATTATGAATCTTCAACGTTACCCGTTACACCACTTCTTCAATTGGTAAATGTGTTATTCATTCTTTACTTCAATACAACCAGCTAAACTAGTAACGAAATTATATAGATATAATAAAAATATCATTTAACAGATATAATAAAATATAAACAATTTACATTACTATGAGACAACATTGGATAAGTGTCGGATAATCTAACTTTGCTTGGTCGCGCTCCGTGATCAGTGATGCGAATTCCGGGCCGCTTGCAGCACGCGATCGGCGGCCTGACGCAACCGGTAGCAAACAAGCATGAACCCGTGACTTGGTTAGTTAGAAGCGTGCCGATTATATCGCTCTATCCTTTTTGCACTACGTTCTTTTTGCTTTGTCGGCGTGCTGAGAACGAGAGAGAACCTTGCTGTCACTCAAGCAAGCCGAGCACGCGTTGAGCCGGTCGAGCGAACGAAATATGTTTTCTCGGCCTCTCGGCTCTCGGCAGTCTCGGCGTCAGGCGTATATCAAGAGACATGGGGGCATGGGAACGTTCTAAATAATATATAAATTTTAATAAATTGTAATAATCATATACCTTTGCCATTAATCCAGAATATTATAAATCGTGTCAAAATGCGATAATTGACGAGAGATTAATTGTTTATGATTTTCCATTCGTGTATGTACCACAGTCATAAAATGACAAATTATTTATTTGTGTTCTCACGCAGCGCTCAATATCTTCTTTGTTGCCAGGAAAAATGAATTTGATGATTTCACTGTCGATGTAGGAATTAGTCAGAAGCAACTCTATCTCCTTAATCAAATATCGAGCGCATTCATTAACAATGTCGATAATAGACGTCAGTTGCTTTACATGTGCATACAATTGATTACTTTTTCCATTTCTTGAAATGTAGCTTGCTGCATTACAATCGCAACAGAATAAGATTTTCTTTTCTTCATCGGCGGCTGCGTTGGTTCTGCTTGCGTACTTGCGGATGAAAAAATTTTTTCCTTTGGAAAATTTTCATCTTGTTTGCGCGTCATCAGTATAGCTCCATAGGCGGAAATAAAGCTGACAAATATGTTTGCGAATGAAATAGAATTTATTTTGATTCTGCTACTTCCGTTTATAGGTATGTGCTCATGAGTTCCATATTTTCTTGAAATTGTTTGCACGCGTTCGAATCGAAGCTGATTCCTTCTACGTAATTATTAGTCAATTTGACGATAGGCTCGAAGGTTCCCTCCTTTGTGGATTGTAATCCCACGTGCAATTTCTTCGTATGAGAGGAGTTGAGTGGGTACGTCGTAGAGAGCAGCAAATATTGTTGCTCATTTCGTTCGGTAATATTGTTTATCATGCGAGGATTATCAGGCACAAAATAATTTCCAATTTCTTGTCTTTCAGCCATGTCGTTTCATGGAAAACGCAAAAACTTTGGATGTTTCTCGCACAAATCAAGGAAAACTAAGAGAACTGATTTCGAAGTAGACTCTTCGAATAACGAGACACGACTAAAGTATCGTAACACTATTGCGATTGCAATTTATATATGCTTTTCGAAAACTAACGAAAATCTGTGCGCGCAGAATATTTATTTAAATTGTTACTTTTTTAGAAAAAACTTGCTACTCTGTTATGTGACGCAGTTATTTTTTCAGAAAGAATTTTTTCGAAAATGAATAACGGAAATATTTCATGTCACAAATATGTTCGAATTCGTAAAAAATCGAACAAATCGTCAAGATTACTCGAATATAAAGTATTATTATATTTGAAAATAATTCGTCAGAATAAAAGAAATATTCTAACGTCGAATTTATTTTCCATAAATTTTAGAAATATTTCTCACTAGCACGACTGGAACTAAGGATACGTACGAACATAATAAAAAGTTAATCCGACCAAAAAAGCAATCTTAATGTTTAAAAAAAAATTCTTTTCTAACGAAAGAGAAACGTTGTCCCTGAGGAAAATTATTTGTCAACCGTCATAAAACTTTTTATAATATATAGCATAAAAAATTAAGTCTTAGTTATATACGAAAGTTATAACGAAAGTTAAGAAAAAAATTTAAGTGACGCGGGTTATGTTCAGTGAGTCCACGATTTTTCTTTCTTACGTCATAAGAAATCTAACAAAAATCGAGCACTGCGTAATATAAGAATAAAATTCTATTTTTTCTTCATTGAAAAAGTTTATTTTTGCTTGCCGTAGATTAATGTAAGAATTTTTCTAAAAAACAGCAACAAAAAATGGGAAAGGTTAAATTTGAGTTACTCCGACAATAAGAATACCATAGTACGAAAAAACATGCGACAAAAACTTTTCCGAGATAATAATGAGTAAGAGGAAAGAAATTTTCTAAGATGAACGATGGTGGAAGTGATGCTCAGGAAGGGAATTAATTTTATGTCGTTAAGTTTGTTAGAATGTTGTTCGCAACCAGAGAGTTTTTATTATCTCCCACTCTGAAAATTTTTCGAGAAAATCTCTACATGTAAGAAGAAAATCAATCGGAAAAATTGTTAAAATCTAAAGTCAATTCTCTAGTCAATGGCGTGGCTAGAAATTTTGATTGATTCATCCTTCTTTAGGAATTTTCGTGAATATCAGTAGCGTATAAATAGTGCGTATCGAGTGAGAATTAAGGATTAGTTGATTTTCTCTGTCAAGAGTTGATTTTCGTCGTGAAATTATAAAATCAAGTTTGTTAAAAATGCTACTTCGCGAATCGCTTGCAAAATTCTCTATCGTCGCCTGCAACTTGAATCAGAAGTTAGTTGTAGTTGATTATCTGACAAAGTTGTCAGAAAACGACAAAGAGAATTATTCGGTTTTCGGGTGTTTCGCGGGTGAGTGCTCCAGCACATTGTCGTGCACAAGCTGGGACATTGCGACGATGTGAGATTGATAAAAATAATCTCGCATCATTTAGAAGTACGCGAGTGTTTTAATCATGCTGACTTCACGCTGAAAGTAAGCAGTAACAATATATTTTTTGAAATAAATCAAAGAACATTTTATTAAAAGTTTACTTCATTAAATTCTAGCATTTGTTTCATAGTTTCGAACTGTAGGCCATGCGATTCCGCACCGCGGAGGACACCCGTTAGCCCGATTTAGTTTGAGATGACGACGTCCAGCCGAACAAGCGATTAATGAAGTCGTACCAGCACGTAAGTTGAAAAATAATAAAAAATTAATTAGAAATTAAATTGCAAATTGAATTAGATAGTCTACTAAAATATTTAATTTTTTAGGAAGAGCACGAATCAAAGCCGTACGGGATGCGCCCATTATACCCGTAATGAGCGCAACATCCCTGTGTTATATAATATTATCATCTGGTAAGTTGGATTTTTAAAATATTTCTCCCTATAAGACCAGTTCTTGTATGGATAGAAATAATAATAAACAAATAATAAATAAGAATAATAATACTAATGTAAAAATATAATTGTGTTTTAAATGATGAATCGCAGGATTCCGCCCATATACGTATACTATGGAGTCCACTTATTCCACGACGTAAGTTTTAAAAAGTTAGCGAAAATCTACAGTAAGTTTATGCAAAAGATAACGAAATGTTACTTTTTAGCGCGAAAAAATGAAGAAGAACAGGATGAGGAAGAGGAGGAGCAGAAAGAAGTTATAGAGAAGAGAGAAGAAGAAGAGGAGGAGGAGGGTGAAGTGGATAACAGCGGTGACATTTCGGTGGTGGTATCCGGTGATATCGCGGTGATAGAAGAGACGCAAGAAGCTTTGGAGGGGAAAGAAGGGGAAGAGAAGAATGAGGAGGAAGCTAGATATTAGTTTGTGATGTTGAAGGTAATAATATTTTACAAAATTTTTTATATATTTTTTTCGTAATGTATACTCATGTATGAATTTTTTATTAGATATTTCATATACGCCAGTTGAATGATACAAAACAATCGAGTCAATATTCCGACATTTTTACGCGAGTGAACAAAACAACTAAAGGTGAGTTACCTTAGTCATATTAAACGTAGTCACTGCTTCGAATGTAACAAAAGCTTTACGCGTGATGTTTGCTTATATACGATAATATATGATATATATTAATATTGTAACTATAAGCATTTTCGTAGTTACAAATCATCACAATTTGACATTTATTTTAATATATACATAATTTAATATACACATAATTTATTCTATCGATATCAATGTACGAGTATAACAAGATGTGTGCTTAATTTTTCAGTACAAACTGATGGTGGTGCCGGCAGAGACGACGCCGATCTAATAAACAAAAGAGAAGAAAATTCTGCTGACATCGAGGAGCATCGTTATCATCATCATCATCAGCAGCAACAACAGCAGCAACAGTGCCATCATCACCATCAGCAGCAGTATCATCGACACGAGGTTGGCGAACAATTTAATTTCTTAGAATTACGGGCGGAAAACTCACGACGTTTCAGAAATTTCGGCATTCTCGGAAGAGAGGCGAGTTTCATGATATGGCTTGAAGGCGTAAATATCGTTCACTGATTAGAAAACGTGTACCGCAAAATCTATGCATATGCGATACGTTCGTGCGAACCTGGTGATTACGTAGGAATATCGTTCGATTCGACAAATCTAGTGCATGGTCCGGCAGGACTATCTCTTCAACCGGTATGCGACTTAACTTTGGAGGATATATGGGATTCGTAAGTTTGGTAGCTCAAAGTGCCGGCGGAATTGATATTGCGGAAAAATTCGACGTACGTGTTTTCAACATCGCGGTACCTGCGGGTCGTGGCCGTAGTCAAATCGTTTAAAGCGCGAAGACGTAGCAAAACGCTCGATGTTGCAATTAAATAATTCGGATAATTTGTGTTTTCCACGTTCCCTTGTAGTGGCGTGAGTGCATTGCGAACGTGAAAATCTACGTATGGGTGAACTCCATGAAAAATGGAATTGTATAAGACGACAGAATTTTTTGTTACAATCCGAATTATCGAAAGAATTAACAAGGAACGCTGGAGTCACAATTCCCGAGGAGGGATGCGGAATTCGCGAAATCGATTTCAACGGTATCTCGCTGCCGAAAATATTGCTATAATGGTGTACAATTTTAGCAATTTCGGACGTGATGAGAATCCATTATTTGATTGGTTGCACGTTACTTTCTAGGGCGTAAGCCCTCTAATAGATTAAATATAATGTATTACGAAAGTAAGCGTCATTAAAATCCGATATTAAATGTAAAAGCCACTGCTGGCTCTCGCGGAGGATATTGCGTCGCGTATAACATGGGCTATCATAAAGATAGAGGTCATCGCTGCACAAAAAAATACGCT